TTCCCTGTTTTTTTTTTTTTTTTTTTTTTTTTTTTTTTTTTGAGACAGGGTTTCTCTGTGTGGCTCTGGCTGTCCTGCAACTCACAGAGGCCTGGCTCTGCCTCCAGAGTGGTGAGATTAAAGCTGCACCACCACCACCACCTGGCTGGAAAAGCCACTTTCTAGAGGACAGACAGGCTCTAGAAAGTCCAAAGCCCCGTGTCAGGAGGAATTTGATAGGACTCAAGCAATTCAGTCAGAGTGATGAGGTGAGACACCTCACCAGCAAGGTCTGCACCAACTGTGGGACAGCTCTTCTGGCCACAACTGTGCACACTCAGGAGGCTGTGAGGTCTTTGTGAGGTGTGAAGGAGGCCATGCAGCAGACCGGCTGCAGGCTGCCCAGAGTGCCTGTCTCTGCCCTAAAGGAGAGCAGCAGAGCTGCAGGTGCATAGTATGGCCTCCAGGTGGCAGCAGTAGCCTGTGCCTCCTGTGGCCCTCAGCCCTGCTCCTGGAAAGGCTGCCCAGAGGTGGCCTCTGAAGATGAGTGAGCTGTTGGCATCCCTCAGGAAGGGTCCTCTTTCCCCTAGCTCGCCCGAGCCCTCCCTCATCTGGGGTGTCACTTTGGTTACAGGTGCAGTAGGCTCTCAAACCTGTGAGTCATGCCCCTATCCCCAGGAAGTCTTTCCCCCTCCATCTTGGTGCTCTAATGAGAGAACGCACAGCCCTGTGTTGTGCAGCCCAGACCTGCTGTGCCGGCCTCAGCTCTTTTGGCCGTGGTTTTTCCCAGAGTTATGGTGGTTTCTGTCCTCACAGGTAAGGGGCCAGCCTCCTGCAGAGTTCCTTGAATCCTTGAAGCCAAAGCATGCCTATCTAGCACAGGAGAGCCTGCCCCACCCTGGGCGCACACAGAGCGTGCACATGGCTGTCTACCCTGGGAGCCCAGGCTGGCAGGGAGGAAGGGAATAAGGCTTGGATCAGCCCAGAAGGAGTGGCTTTGGCTCTTGGCTTCTCTTCTTTCCACTGGCCTCTCAGCAGAGCTCTCTCCCAGCAATTCCACCTCCCTCAAGTTCTCCAAGAAGGGGGTCAGTGCTGGTCTCTGGGGTCTTCCTTCCATCTTCTCTGGTTCTTACTCAGACTCTGCTACAGCCCAGTAGGACTATTGGTTTCAGGCTCTGCTGCGCTCCTTGTTCTGGGTCCAGGCTCTGCCCATCAGGATGTCCCACTGCCCACAACCTACTCTCCTTGGCTGAAGAGGCGCAGTCTGCAGGATTAGCTGTTGCTATCTGTAGGCCATGTGGTCCCAAAGCTAAGCCAAGCCCATCTGAGCTGGGATCAGGGGCTTCCTGAGGCCAGACCCTTACAGGTGACAGGGTATATTCAGGTCTGAGTCCCACTCTGTGTCCATACCTGTGGCCCTCAAGTTCTTTTTTTATCATGGTAACTTGTCAGACTTTCTGGAGATGGGCAAGCTGACACCCATCAGAGGGACAGACAGAAAACAGATACCTGGACTCTGAGTCAGAGAACAGGGCTAAGCAGCCTGGAGAAGCAGGAGCTCTGGGTCCAGGTTTCACCTGCCAGTCAGCTGATGCTGGGAGGAGCCAGGACCCTCAGCCCCAAGGGTGTCAGCATTTCTGTCAGCTACACACTGGTGGGGTGGATGTCCCAGAGAACATGATGGGTGCCTGTGGGCTGCCTCTGGAAGGGCATGAACTGCTCCCCAGCGGCTGGAGATGGGGACATATGCCCCGGGCCTGGCCACAGCTGTGTGTGTCTTTCAGGCTGACATCCGCTCCCGAGAGTACATCCGAAGGACTCTAGGAAACCCTGGGTCTCCTGCACAAGGTCAGGAGAGGTGAGTGTGGGGAGGATGTCCTCAGTGGCTGTGTGCGAGCCCAGCCTGTCTGTCCTTGATGTAGGGATGTAGCTTAGGGCCACAGTGTGAGACCATGCCTGAAGAAACCCCACTCCTATGGCTCAGTCGTCCCAAAGCCTACCTCCAAACATGGCTGCTGTCCTAGTTAGCTTTCTATTGCTGTGAGGAAACACAGAGCCAACACTTCCACATCACTGTTCATCATTGGAGGAAGTCACAACAGGAGCTCAAGCAGGGCAGGAACCTGCTTCACCTGGAGGGGAGCTGCTTCCTGGCTTGCTCCTCATGGCTTGCTCAGCTTGCTTTCTTACAAAACCTAGGACCCCCAGCCAAAATGGTCTGGGCTCTCCCATAGCAATCACTAGTTAGGAAAATGATTCCTGAGGGAGTGGGCAGCTGGCCCTACCCCCAGCTTCACAGCTGAGCTCCATCAGCCTGAGGGTAGAGTGGACCTATTTAGTTGATGGCTATCTGTCTATCCCTCTAGACTGGGCCTTTCAGCAGGCCTTCCAGAGACCCCTGGAGAGCAAGGGAACTTCTGACACACCTGGCCTTTTATCTTACCTGTTTCTTGGTGTCATTACCAGGCACCAGAAGGAGCAGAGGCCAAAGGCATGTCCCAAAGGAGGCTCAGGAGCACCTGCAGGTCCAGGCAGGCCACCCGAGGACTGTGGCAGAGACTCCAGCACAGACCTGAAAGACCCCCAGCCAGGCTTCCAAGAGCAGCAGAAGGACCAGCAGTCAGAGGGAACTGGGCCTCATAAAGACTCAGACCTCTGGCCTCCTCCTGCAGCCCGGGTACAGTCACCACCCTGAGAAGATGATCTCTAATTGCTGTGGGAACTTCACCCACACCACAGGCAGAGCACTGAGCCTCGGAGACAACAGTGGCCTGAACCCCAGGAGGACGCAGCAGGCATAGTCTAGCTTGGGCCAATGGCTGCCCAGCCTCCTCCATCACTGGCTGGCCAGTGTAGTCACCATGCCCCAGAAGGACCACATTCCAGACCAGAAAACACACAAGCACCCAGAGTGCACGTGGGCTTCAGGTGCCCAGAGGCCCTATGTCAGCACCTGCAGCTCCAGCCTCCCCCGTGGAACACAGACCTGGCTCTGGCTTCACTCCTCTATTCTCGTGGTCACTGTTTCATCATTGTCCTGGCCACAGATTGTGCTTCAGGGGCATAGCCAGGCTGCAGCCCCCAAGGGGTCTGTCCTTAAGCTTGCCTGCTGCTGAGCTGAGGGACCTGCAGTGGGGAAGCCTCAAGCCTGGAGCAGGCTCAGGAGTGGGCGTTGGGGAGTCAGCTTCACAGAGGGTGCCAGATGGGAAGCCGGTTGAGGCCCGTGGTGAGAAAGCCCCAGGCTCGGCTCCTCACTCCTCTCCCTGCCACCCTCTCACCAGAGGGAGCGTCAAAATCCCATCCCACTAAGAAGGCAGGTCTGTTCTAGACCGGTGGCTTCTTCTCTGGGTGTGTTTGAAGTAGTTGCTGAGTCGGGCCACAGAGGTGGCTTACCCAGCAGCATGGCTCCCGTACCCTGTCCCCCTACACACACAGGTGCACCAGAGTGTCAGCTGGGGTGGGACACAGGCGGCATATCCGTAGCATGTCCCCTGCCTGCACCCTAGGCCCCAGACTCCCTGGAGGAGAGGCGGCAGGCGGTGGGTGAAGCTAGCTGCCGAAGCCTGTGGACACAGTGGGGGGGGGTCAAGGTGGACTGAGGGTCAGGGATGGAGGGAGGACAGCGGGGATAGCTTTCCTGTCATAGTCGGCCCGCTTTAGATTCAGCTGGGCTGCAGAGTCCTATAGTGGGAAATTACCAATACAGAGTCAGGTAGAAATATAAGGGTATT